TTTTTAGATGGAGCGTACCGTACGCGCGGAGCGTAAGAGCGCGGATGTTTTTTTCAATTGCCACCCATGTGAAATTGTTCATATAAACTCATAGTAGTTGCTCGAATTCGCGGACGGTCCGTCGCGGACGCTCCGCTCCATCTGAAAGCGCTGTGACAGCGTTTTCATATGGAGCGGACCGGATGGTCCGCGCGGATGTTTTTTCAAGATAGCTCATCCAGACGGAGCATACGCGACCCATCTGAAATTGTACATATAAACTCACAGCGTTTTCAGATGGAGCGGAGCGTCCGCGACTTCGAGCAAGTACCATGAGTTTATATGAACTATTTCACATGGGTCGCGTATGATCCGTCCGGATAAGCTATATTGGAAAAAAAATCCGCGCGGACGCTCCGCTCCATCTGAAGGCACTGTCTGGTACACGACGGACGGTCCGCGCGTACGCTCCGCTCCATCTGAAAGCGCTGTAACGTGCCATCGCCGTGAATCACTCTATATACAGGGTGAGTCTTAAATAAGTGCAAATATTTTTAGGGGTAGTATACTTCGACCTCAGAAATACAATTATGAGGTTTTTTTTTGGCGAAAAAAAATTCGAAAGTTTGGAATTTTTTGGAAAAAAAATTAGAAATGTTTTTAGTTTAAAAACATAATTTCTTGGCAAAATGGCAATTTATGTAGTAGATTACATTTACAATAAAGAAAACCCAGAAAAGATCGAGTGGTTCTCAAAATTTAAACAAAAAATCATTTATTTGAAAAACGTGAAGAGAAAATATGTTTCTATTTTCGAAATCTACCAGTCCTGAAAATATTTGCACTTATTTAACACTCACTTTGTATATAAAACTAACAATTAACAATTTTTTTAATAAAAAAGATAGATTGGTATAGTCATCATCTGCTTTTTTTCTGTCATCGTCTGTCAAAATCTTCCCTGAGTAGTATATATATTGAAATAGAATACACACACAAACTCTGTATCAAAATAAAAACAAAATATCGATAAATTTTTATCGATATATTTTTTAAATATCGACGTCCCTACGCCGCCTTTTGAGACTTTTCTGTCCAATCTCCGGCTTATTATTCCACGAAAAAAAAAGTTTTATTATGGTTTTCGATGCACCCGCGTATCGACGGAAATTCGTTTGCTTCGGGCTAATTCAGTTCTCACGTTCACAGATTACACTCTCTCGGTTCACAGATTGCAAATTAAATTCAATCGCCGCATCGAAGGTTATTTAAGTTAAGCAAATATGGGTTAAATCGTTGGAATGCTAGAAACCAAGCAATAAGAAAATATTTATTGAGTATATTAAGTCGTCAAAGAAATTATAAGATATGTATGCAAATGTAGGATAAGTAATAAAGGGTATTACATCTAGGTTTTTTTAGTGTTCATCAAAATACGAGACCTACTTGTTCAAACGTTTGGTGCCCGCACGACACTAGCGAAAATTTAAGCTCGTCCGTGTGCAGATGAAATGAGATGCATTTTTGGACCTTGGACAAGAATCAATCATATTTTAATATTTTTTTAATTTTTCTCTAAGACGGTATGGAAATTTGGAAAAATATAAACCGGATTAACCGTCTTAGAACAAGCAGAAAAATTTATGAAGAATGCATTTTTCTCAAAAAGTTAATAATAAAAACTGTATACTTCATGGATTTTTAATATCTACATTAATCTGACTTTTCTTTCAAATTTTATGCAGAAGTCGGGGAAACACTATTTGTAATAAATTAAAACAATAATTTTGAACAAATAGGCCAGTAAGCGAGGGTTTTAGGGTCCGAATTCTGAACCCCTGCACCAATTGACGTGAAATTTTAACAGTGAATAGAGATATATGTAAGAATCAAAAGTTACATAGTAGCGATGTGTGCTTTCACACTGGGGGTGTGTGCCACCCCTTCTCGAGGGTGAAAATAAATCATCCCTTTTAATTGCATAAATCAATAAAAGGATGAATTCTAAACAAAAAATGTTCTATAACATTTATTCAGAAAATTAATATTTTCCTAGTTATTTAGGATTGAAAATGTTGATTTTTCATCTAAAAACTGCATATTTTTCTGCCATTTTTTATAAATAACTCAAAAACTTTGCGTTTTATCGCAAAACTCATATAAAGCAAAAATGAAGCTTTTGGAATAACTAAACACATTTTTTGTTTATTAGCGTAGGTGTAAAAATAGCCGAGTTATCACTTTGTAAAGGTGATGTTTTATTTTTCGCAAACTAAATTGCAAAATTTTACCGTAAAATTATGGCAAAGGAACGCATTTTTCGAACAAAATGAATTTGACCGTTTCTAAAGTGCTTGAATAGACTTTTTAAATGCTTTTTTAAAAAAGTTCGTAGCTCAAAAACTCGCAGAGTTATGATAAAAATAAAATGGTCACCTCATTTTTTCGGAAACAAATTAACCAAACATACGCACAGATCTTCATGACGTGGAGTAGCATGGCGTCCCGTGGCGTGGCGTGTTGGCTAATGGGGTCCCGGCATTATTTATTTATAAACAAAAATTTTACGCATATGGTTTATTGTTGACGGCTACCATAAACAACATATTCACTGGCAATAGTTCTGGAGGATTTTTTTATTAATGATTTTTTATTAAATAATAGGGGGGAGGGGTAAATAAATAAAAATTTTGTTATTTTTACTTTAATTATTATCTATGAAAAAAACAGATCCTGCATGCTCTGGGTCTTGCGTAATTCTTGAACTGGAGGTCTTCGTATTGGACTTGTATTGCAAAAAAAGCAAGTCCAAAACCAAGACCAAGTATAGTATTGCTCATCAATAGTTTTAACAGAGCATTTCAAGCTAAATATGTACTGAGCTCATGAGATTAACAGCCATGTACAGGGTGGGTCAAATTCGACGCTTTTAAATGGAAACACCCTTTTCTATAGGTGATAGACGAAAACTAATATCGGTGTCTGGAGCTCAATTTTTATGAAAAATGTGATGGTGAAAACCGCACATCAATATCTGTTACCGTTTCGGAGTTACGGGGTGCTTTTCAAAAATGAGCATTTTTAACAAATCGCTGTAACTTTTTTGCTATAGAAAATTTTGTATTTCTATGAAAACATTTCCAAAGCACCTTTTTACGTAGAATTTAATGGTTCAAGTATATATTTTTTAAAATTAATAATTTAAGAGTTATGAACAGAAAAATTGATTTTTTATTTGGGACACCCTCTATATTTTTAATTAACTGAAAAGAATTTAAAATTACGTTTCCAAAAATATAGCACACCTGATATTTTGTTATAATTTCCTTTGAAATACAGAATTTTTAAAAGTTCGCCACTTTTAACTAGTAGGCTTTGGATCCCTTATTGATGACATGCCCTTGATGGAACTCGAAAACACATTTTTCTAGCAATACGACGCAACGCCTCTGAACTCTGAAGTTATCAGCAAATTTTTGCAGCTAATTTCAAGAATAATTGAGTAGCTAACCAAGATCCCAGCCGTTGGCCGTCGAGGCCGCCTGACTTAGTGCCCATGGATCTAATACTATGGATATATTCGCGGAAGAATAAAGGTTCCTTATTCTTCCGTATAATCTAGACAAGAATTAAAAATACTTAGCAGTTATGAGAGGGTATCTTTCACCCCCACTGAGTTAATGAATTTCGCGAGAAATGTTCAAAAACTGCCCCGTCTGTCCATAACAGAAGACGGTCGATATGTCCAACACCTGTAGCAAAATCTCATGTCTTGATTTGCTGTTTATTTTTATGCTATTTATTTTTATTGTTATTAGATATAGTTTAAATGTGTTGATGTTGGTTAAATATATTTTAAATTGTTATAAAATTCTGCATCTCTCATAGCAAATATTATTTTCGTTTTAATTGATGCTCACAGCTAGAATTTTTTGCATTACAGCCGGTGCCGTTCAAAGCCTACTTATTTAAAGCGGGCGAATTTTTATATACTCTATATCTCGAAGAGGAATCGAGCAAAATATCAAGTGTGATATATTTTTGGAAAGGTAATTTTAAATTATTTTCAATAAATTAAAAATATACAGGGTGTCCCATATAAAAAATCAAATTTCCTGTTGATAATTCTTAAATTATTAATTTTAAAAAAATTATACTTAAACCATTAAATTCTACGTAAAAAGGTGCTTCGGAAATGTTTTCACAAAAATACAAAATTTTCCATAGCAAAAAAGTTACAGCGATTTGTTAAAAATGCATATTTTTGAAAAACACCCCGTAACTCCGGAACGGTAACAGATATCGATATGCGGTTTTCACCATCATGTTTTTGACAAAAATTGAGCTCCAGACACCGATATTAGTTTTTGTCTATCTCCTATAGAAAAGGGTGTTTCCATTTAAAAGCGTCGAATTTGACCCACCCTGTACAGTTTCTGTCAATCAGAATAAGCAGCAGAACACATTCCTTATAAGTGTGGCACTCTGGCAAGTGTACTTTTTTTTTATATTATACGATGTTAAGAGCTATATTGCTATATGGACGGCTCTGCTTCCAAGTTATTAGACATTTTAGGAAATAATACGACTGGAGAATGTAATCTAAAGATAAGAAAACCACAATAGATCTGAAAAGATCGAAGTGACCAATCGAAGAATAGGCCAATCTTCTTCTTCTTGCAGTGCCGTGCCAGGCGTTGGCGATCTCCATGACTCTTTCGTTGAAGAGTTCTCTATCTTCTGCTACCATGAAAGAGCCTCTCTCCCTAACCCAGACCAATCCAGTCCAGTTCCGTATATTTCTCAGCCATGAAAGTTTCTTTCGACCTACCCATCTTCTACCTTCAACTTTTCCTTGAATGATCAAACGAGGAATATGGTATATAATATAATAATAATAAAATAATATTATCTGTCCAATAATAGCCCAATAGACATCTAAAATTTAAACTAATATAACACCAATTGTAATTAGCATTGTCCAATAATTATATTTTCTAACAAGAATTTTTCTTTTCCAGGTGGGCGACCGTCTCTTCGTTGGAGCTCCAGGCAGCTACTATTGGCAAGGTAATAAACACGTCCCATAACTTTTCCGCTATTCACTTTCCCCCAAAACAATGCACCTTTCCTCCTCGACAATTACCCACTTTTACAGGCTTCTAGTGTGAACACGTAGTGGCACATCGATTCCTAGCCAGGACAGCAATTAGCATCCGATTTTATGTTTCAGGCCAGATGTACTCGATAGACGCTAACGCCAAGTTTAACTATACGCCCGGTCTTCTAGGCACGACGTACGGCGCCAAAGGTATTTCTTAGATAGCGTCGGACATTATTCTAATCAGCGCCGCCATTGACTACTCCCACTACTCAGATTAATTCATTTGTTTTTTTTTGTTTACTTTCATCGAAGGGCTGTCTCGAAACGAAACAATTTTTGGGAAAATTTTTAAAAAGACATTTATAATCCAAAGTTTGGAAAATATTACATATCCTATACAGGGTGTCCCAGAAATAAGTGCAAGTGTTTTAACTGGTAATATAGTTCAACCCCAGAAACACGCCTATGAGGTTTTTTTCGCGAAATTTATTTTGAAAAACCGAAATTTTTTGAAAAAGAATTTGGAATTTTTTTTTAGTGTTTATTTAAAAAACATAATTTCTGATAATATGGCAGCATAGGTATTAGATTAAATTTCCAAGAAAGAAAATCCAGAAATGATTCAGTGGTTCTCAAAATTTTAGGAAAAAATCATTTTTTTTGGAAATTTTCGAAGTAAATAACTTCCTTATTTAGGACTTATTTGAAAAACCACAAAGAGAAAATAAAAACCACCCCTTAAAATACTTGCACTTATTTCTGGGACACCCTCGAGGACATCCTGTATACAGGGTGGTCGGAACTGTATTCCGGAAACTTTGGCGGCATATTCTGCAGATAAAAATAAGTAAAAAAAATGTATAAATGTATGCCCTAAAATGCTTAGTTTCGGAGATACAGGGTGTAGAAGTTTCAATTTTATTTAGATTTTTTTCAAATAATTATGAAGTAACGTCAATATTTGGATGAAAATTGGTATCTGGGAGTTTTTTGATATAAGAAATTTGATTTTGATGTCAATATGACTCCTACTTGTAGAGGGCGCCACCTACTTATTTTTAATTGGTTTGAAGACTAATAACTTTTCGTCCATACCTGTATAAAACTACTGAGTAAAAAATATGTACGTATACATTTACAACGCTTTTACGTAAAAAAAGTCTCTTTGTAAAAATGGCTACGAATAATTGTTCTTGAGATATTTGGAATCTCAATAATTATTATCAATGTCTGTCATCACTGACATAAATTATTAAACATGTTGAGACTAAATAGTTATTAGACTGAAATCATAAATTTTAAATGTTTTTGTGCCAAAAGTCCAACAGAAACTGTTTTATCATCATTTTTTCAAAGAAAAATTTTGGATTAATTTAAAAAAATAAATAGTTCTATATATATACTATTAACTCTCAACATGCTAATGATTCCTTGTTCAATTATGACATGTAGTTTGCTTCATAAACGTTCATTCAAAGTCAACTTGAGAATGGTATCTTGTAGCGATTTTACCAAGAGACCGTTTTTAAAAACGTTCTTATTTTTTTATCATGAAAACGGAAAGAGATAGACTAATGAAATTTTATGGAAGCATTACTGTTATGAAAACACACTTTCTGGTAATTTTTCAGATTTTTAAAATGAGTGGAAGGGGTTGAAATAAACTACCCCTATTATTCTTGTTAACGAAATGCAAAGAAAAATCTTATCAAACACATGCAAAAAATTAATTTGGATAGTTTAGTTTGTTTAAAACGATTTTTTATCTCTTGTATTTTTTTATAAAACTCACCGATTTGAAATTAAAAAAATAAAATGTAAAGCATTACATGTCAGGACTAAAAATATTTTTCGATTAAGAATCTAGTGATAATAATGATAATAATAATAATCTAGATAATAACGTATTGCAGTAGGGTAATGTCAAATAAAACAATATTAGAAACATCCTAAAAAGTGACAGCGGCCGACTAGATTTTTTCCTAAAAAAAATTACAGCTGCCCACTAGATTCTTTATCTAAAAATATTTTTTGTCCTGACATGTAATGCTTTACATTTTATTTTTTAATTTCAAATCAGTGAGTTTTATCAAAAAAACACAAGAGATAAAAAAGTTTCTAAATAAACTAAACTATCAAAATTATTTTTTTTTGTATGTGTTTGATAAGATTTTTCTTTAAATTTTATTAACAAGAATGATAGGGGTAGTTTATTTCAACCCCTTCCACTCATTTTAAAAAAGTGAAAAAATACCAGAAAGTGTGTTTTCATAACAGTAATGCTTCCGTAAAATTTCATTAGTCTATCTCTTTTCGTTAATAAGATAAAAAATAAAACATTATTTTTCCATATCTTTGTACCGCGATATCTCCCTAATGGTTGACTTTTGACCCAACGTTTATAAAGCAAACTACCCTTTATTTTGAACAAGGAATCACCCGCTGAAGTTTTTCGCATTTGTTTTGAAACACCCTGTATACTATTAACTCTCAACATGCTAATTTTTTGTCAATTATGACATGCATTAACTATTTTCATTCTAAATATCTTGAGAATGGTATCTTGTAGCGATTTTTACCAAGAGACCGTTTTTAAAAACGTCGTAAATGTATATTTTTTACTCGGTAGTTTTATACAGATACGGACGAAAAGTTGATATATAGGTGGCGCCCTTTACAAGTAAGGGTTATATTAACATCAAAATCAAATTTCTTATCTCAAAAAACTCCCAGATACCAATTTTCATCCAAATATTGAAAAAAGAGAAAATCGAAAAAAAATTAAATTTCTACACCCTGTATCTCCAAAACTAAACCTTTTAGAACATATGTACATTTATATGAACTTTTTCACTTATTTTTATCTGCAGAATATGCTGCCGAAGTTTCCGGAATACAATTCGGACGACCCTGTATATAACCAAACTGCAATTGAGAAAAAAACAATACTGCTTAGTAAAATGAATTTAATTATAAATATACGTTTGTGGTACCTTTATTTTAACTAGTAATAAATAAATATCTATTTTAAGATATACACAGAGTATCTCCAAGTGTATGCTTTATTTAAAAAACCTACGATATACATATAAAGAGAAAATGTACATATAACTCAATCGTTCTTGTCCAGCGAGCGAATAACAAATCTCCACTCCACTTCTTATGCCGCTTATCTTACGATATTAACTTAAAGATACGGAATCATTTATTAACGTTAAACTGAAATCGTTTAAGCGATTAATGAATGTTTTTCTCCCGGCCGTAGAATTTATTGTAACCGCTGATCTATGGCGGTTTATTAGCATCAATTTTAATATTTATGACTTGAATTCATTAGTCTTGCGCCGTTCTTTCGCCATATATAACCGCATCTGTAACGAGATATATCTCTGTGTACATTTAAAACACTTAAGGATTATAAATTGTTGTCAGTTAAATCAAGTGTAATTCTTCATTTTCAAACTCGGCTGGCTCCGAGTTTGAAGAGTTCTTTTCTGGACAGCCCCGAGAATTATTAATAATAATTTATCAGTTCGTTTTATAATCAAAGAAACTACTACCATATCACCATATACATTCCCATTGGTGCAGGACGACATGTATAACATGAAGAGTTCAGATTTGTACTAATCCAGTCATTTTTAATCGTCTACTAAACGTTTATTGGTTTTATTGAATTTACTAAATTGTATTAACTAGTTTTTTACGTACTTTTTGCCTAAACTGATCAAATGAATTAAACATCAGCTATTTTAGATTTTAATATGGTTTCGGGTCATACAGTCGTACATCAATTTAATAATACTTTAACAAGAAGCAATGTTACCAGCCAGATGTATTAAATGCTTTATAGCTTGTTACTATATAGGTAATGATAATAAACAATATTTTCCAAGCAGCAAAATTAAATATCTTGCAGACAGTCAAGTGAGTATTATGCCACTTACAGAAATCTAAAAAATAGTTATTTTTTATACGTCGACCGAAAAGATTAATTCACGATGAAATCGGGAGTGAATTAATTTCAGAAGACGATAATGCAATTTTATGGTCGTGTATAAAACAATATTTTTTTTCCATAGCGAGTTACGTTTTAAAAAATATATATTAGTCGGTTTAGAACGTTTTTCTACGTTGTCCGATATCCAATTTCCAGCCTGTTCTATTCGTACAATCCTCTGTTGACAGGTTTCTTTCACTCATCGCTTTGTGTACGCTTTTTTGCCATTCCAGTTTCGATCTTCCATGTTTTCTTCTGCCCTTTGGTTGCCAATTGATTATTTTATTGGGCCATCTAGTGTCCTTCATTCGCTCTACATGTCCGTATCAGATCAGGTGCTTTTTCTCTATATCCTGTGTTATCGTACCTTCTATACCCATTTGTTGTCTTATGGTATTATTTCTTATTCGTTGTTGTCTTGAAATTCCCATTGATCTTCGAATGACATCCATTTCTACGGCCTCTATCCTCTTCTTGTATCTCTCAGTTATTCTCCATGTTTCTGCTCCATACAGGAGGTTGCTCTTTATCATGATTTCATATATATTGAATTTTCTTCGCTTTGTTATTGATTTGCTCCATAATATTCCATTTAGACATCCGATTATTTTTTTCGCGTTGATAATCCTTTTCTCTATTTCTCTGCCGGCAGTTCCAGTTCCAGTGTTATCAAATGTAATTCCCAGGTACTCATACTCTTGACACTCCTTAATTTCGTGACCGTTGTCCAAGTTCAAGTTTCCTTCTTGTGCATACATAGATATTTTGTTTTGGCTATGTTAACTGTCAAGCCCCATTCTCCGTATTCTTCAATAAGTTTTCTTAGCATATATTGCATATCATCTTTGTCATTGGCAACTATTATTTGATCGTCTGCGAATTTAAGTGTGAACAAACATTCATTGTCAATCTCTATGCCCATACCACGGATCTTTCTTTTCCAATTTTTAAAGCGACTGCAACGTATATTTTAAAGAGAGTAGGGGAGATGCAACAACCTTGACGCAAGCCTTTGTCGGTTATAAATGTTTCTGTAAGCTCTTTTCCTACCTTTATTTTTGATTTTGCGTCCTTATGTAGTTCCTTAAGAGCTGTTATTTAAAGAAAAAAAGAATATAAAAAATATTCAGAAAAAAAATATTCAGAAATTATTATTTCAAGGAATTTATTACGAGTAGAAAAAATATTGTGCTGGGTTGGCGTTGGT